TTACAACTTTCGTTTCTTCTATTATAAACCAAACGAATCATTTTAAATGGAAGATCTTGAGTGTGCCATGTACGTATTTGATGCGTCAATGAAAAAAATACCTTGCATAATTAATTTATTGTAACAAAAAGTAATTTTCGGTTTCTACAGGGTATTGTGTATAAACCTCCCCAGCCTGGTGTCTCGAAAACCAAAAGAAATATTTAAAATGTAAAGAAAATGATGTGTAGTGAAAAAATGTGACTTAATTTTTGAACGTAAGTGGCATGGCTCTTCCTAAACGTGTAGATGGTACTCGCAACTTCCCCATAACCCTTGTAATATAAATAGTGATCCAAAAGTAATTGGTATTGTAGGTATTTTAATCTGAAAGTATAAAACAAAAGCTGTTAATCTTCTTCAAAATTAATTCCAGATTTCGGTCTACATTTGTTACCAAGAATTTATTTTTCAAATAATTATATCTAATATGATCGATAACTGAATAATTACTAATAGTCCAGTCTCTGAAGGCGAAAATAAAGTAAAAGCTCCCAATTTTTTCGGATAGCATGGATTTTCCTGAATATTTGCATACAAGCTCATCTGACCTCGCACTTCAAAAGTTATATTGTCTAGATGTGTGCTTTTTTCTATTGGGGGGTGAAAACTACCCTTGTACGAAAAAAATGCGAATATCGCAGATTTACGTATTTTAAAGATTCAATTCATGTTCAAATATGTTGGATAAAGTTCCTTTCTTTTTTTAATACAATTTATGAAATTTAATTACTTTTCAACCTTTAAAGATCCTTAAAAACTAACCTTCCATGACCAAAAAAAAAGTTTTTTACAGTTTAAAATATCTTTTGGTGCATTCACAATATATTGCATTTCTTTGTTATTCATTAGAGAGCTTACGACTCATTACAAAGTTGCAACCCTTAAAAAACATCCCTTATAATAAAATAAACAAAAAAATATTTTTAAAAGCTTGAGATGTTTTAATTTAATGGTATGCTTACGTTGAATTATAAACTTTTTATTGGTTTTCAAATGATCTATGATAAGTTGCAACTTTTCAGTTATCCAAAAAACCCTTATAAAAACCCCTACCCCTTATAGAAAAATTTCCTAAAAATTATATGTGAGTATGATACTATAATTATTTTTTTTAATTTTATTTAATTTATTCTTAATATTTTTTTATTAAATTTATATAAAAAAAAATGATATACATTATAAATGGATACGTGTGTGTATGTATATTATTAAAATACTTACTCAAATCAGTTCACAAGTGCTCCAAAATACACAAAGATGATGGTAATTTACCCGCACCGAAAATTTTACCGAAAAAATGCGATTAATTTTTTTACCATAACTTTTGTAATTTTAAAGTTATAAATTTACTCAAAAAACCATTTTGTAGGGAATTTAAAGCACTTTAAGTTCTGTGATTTGCAGTTTTTTTGAGCCCTTCGTTTTTTAGATTTGTAAGCTAAAAGGGCTCAGGAAAGGCAGTCTTGGAGCTTAGTTTTGAGCTTCTAACGGTCATAACTCAGTCAAATTTTGTCCTACAAAAATTTAAAAAAAGCAAATTGTTCAGTAAGAAAAAACCTACAATTTCTTATTCTATCATTTTTTTTATAACTTTGTTAGTTTTTGAAATATTTTGAAAAAAGGCGATTTTTTAAAAAATTGAAAAATTTTATTCAAAAGTAAATGAAATTTTTTTTTAAATTTAGGCTTCTAAAATCGTTCAAATTCCCAGAATCTACTGTTAATACATAAATAAAGTAAATTGCAGAAGGAATACGTTTAATTTTTTTTCCGTCAAGTCATTAATTTTAATACCAATTTTTTTTTCTCAAAAGTCAAGACAATCATTTTATTTTGATTGTAACTTCATTAGTTTTCATGCTAACGACTTCTACCACCACTCAATTTAAAGATCTTTTCAAGAACTTTAATAGGTGTTATATAAGTTTTCCTCGAAAAACCTTTAATTTTTCCGCTACAGGACATTGAACGTTTCGATTATACCTATCTTCGAAATTGACATCAACTTCTGTGTGTCATAACTCAGGTTCTATCCCATCTACAAAAATAAAAAAACAACCTCTTTGCAATTTAATTACCGTCATTTTTGCTTATGATCAGTTTTCTGATAAAACTGATAGTTTTTGAGATATTCGCGAAAAATGTCTCAAAAACATGCATTTTTTGGGCTAAAAGCGAACATATTTAGGCGCAAATAATTCAAAAAGTATTGACTGTACAAAAAATTTTTATAGAACATTTTTTCCTTAGAATTCATCCCTCTATCGAATCGTAAGGTTATTTTTAATAAAAAATTCCCACCCTCCAGAAGGGGTGGCATCTACCCCTAAGGTAAAAGCACACATCGGCACTATATAACTTTTGTTTCTTGGGCTATTCCCTAGCTACAGTTCAACTTTCACGTCAATCCATTCCATCCGAAAAAATCGGTAGCCAAAATACTTCAGTGACTGGACTATAAGGATATCACAGGAAATTAAGGTCCTGATTTTCCAATCAGGCCAACGTTTCGATTTTATTTAAAATCTGCCTCAAAGCTAGTGGTTTTATCTNTTTCACGTCAATCCATTCCATCCGAAAAAATCGGTAGCCAAAATACTTCAGTGACTGGACTATAAGGATATCACAGGAAATTAAGGTCCTGATTTTCCAATCAGGCCAACGTTTCGATTTCATTTAAAATCTGCCTCAAAGCTAGTGGTTTTATCTCGATATGGAAATTTTGGCTATATCCTATGTTTTGCGACGTGCATATGCGTCAAATTAATATGCCCCACTCGCAATCCTTCTGAATACCACATTCGTTTTCCCCGGCACCTACGGGTTTGAGTATTAAGGTCGTGGCGATTCTTAAGTGTATTCTAAGTGGCGCTAATGACCATTTATTTGTCCGATAGGCTTTGTTCGATGAATGTGTCTAATCAAATGAAGCTTTAGATCGTCAGGTGAAGGTAGCAGGATCCTAGTAGGCGCTGTGTTATAGGTCACCATCTGATTAAATATATGTGTATATACAGGGTGATTCAGGTTTAATCTGGATAACTTATTTCACAAATCGCCTTGTTTCGGATATAGGGGGCGTTGAAATAGATTTTTTTCCAGCTTTTTCCTCATAACTTTTGAACCACTCATCCGATTGAGGTGAAATTCGGAACACAAACACTGCTTATGATCTTTCATAAGCTTCTTAACCACCTACTCCACTTAAAAGTATATTTTGTATGCTACCTTCCGCCTACATTATTTCGAAACTTCAAAAAAATTAATTAATTTCAATAAAACAGCTGCGCACCACTTTTGTCTCATTAATTTTGAAACTTTTTCGTCTCCTGTTTTTTTTTATTTAGCCTTGTTTCTAAGATATTCAATAAAATTCGTGACAGTGTAGCGCCCCAGCGCATCTCCGAAACGATGCGATTTAGGAAATAAGTTTATATCACGAATGAATATTATTTTAACCTGTTCTATTCCTGAAGTATCCAGATTAAATCTGAATCACCCTGTATATGGAGTTTCAAAGTTTCTAGTTTACGCCAGAAATTATAGTTTTTGGTATTCTCGTAAATCAAGCAAAACAATATTTATAATAACCGTCATGTCGTTATTTACTTTGTTTCTTTTTATACTCGTGCAGCGAAGAGGTTTCCACTTGAGGTAACCTTGACATCCAATTTTAAAAAAAGCGCCTGGAGGTAGTAAACGCTATCAACAAAGGTCTAATTAAAACACCATTAGGTTCTGTCTTAACGACCACAAAAACACACCATAGCATGGTTTTTAAAGTTCGTTAAACGCTGTTTATGTCTTTAGACAATAAATTTTCTCGAGTTCTCGTTTGACGTGCTTTGTCCTTTTCAACAAACTATTGCGCAACCATTAATATTGTAAAGATGATCCATGCACGGACTAATGAAGCTACCTACCACTGCAATGAAGCGTGTGCATTTTTTACATGAATGCATTAGACTTAAGGTGGCCATATCCCTGGCCGAGAAATGGTGAAGTTTCTGGCATTTTTAGGTACTGAAATCTTGAAAAGTAAAACGTGTACAACAAAAGTAAGCACAAAAATAAAATCCTTGATGTTTTGTTTATTCATTGTTACCATTTAAATTTACCCAAATAAAATAATAACTAAAAAAAAGCGTTTGTAAAACATGCGTTTTCTGTTATCCTAACCTCACATTTTAAGAATTATTTTCACGTACTTATAAATAAAAGTAAACAATTTTATATGTAGGACTAAGCAAGTAAATGTTATAAGAATATTTACATGTGGAGTTATATATAAAAAAGTTAGTATTTTCGTAAATTTCAGTACCTAAAACCTTGATGGTTTGATCGTTTTTTGCACCTGTTTATTGGTTTTACTGCGGCATCTTTGAAAATACCCAGATGGAATGACATAACATTGCTATTATTTGATAAGCTTTAGATTAATCAGTTATTAAATGTTTAAAATTATTTGTCTTTGCGGAAAACATTATCTAAAGAATATGGGGCCCTTAAAAAGGAAAGCATACGTCAGTTCGTTCTCCTTAATAAAAGGTGGACCTTTAAAGATGGTCCTGGAAGATTCCAGTACTAATAGTGTGAAAAATACCAAAATTGATGACGCAAGGTACATTTATTATCACATGGAGCATGATAAAAAATTTATAACGCTTTCTGACTAAACATATATTGCACTTCATGCTGGTTGTACTACCGGATTTACCAGGGCTTGTGTTTTCTTCAAAAGCAAGGCATAATCAATCAATCAAGACAATTTCCTACATTGGTTTGAATATGAGTTTTGGTGAATTTTAAGAAAGCTTCTTTAATTGTCATGGGTAAAGAGAATTATCACAGCACTATTCTGAATAAAGCTCCAACGACAGCTTCCAAGAAAGCTGACATTCAAGAAAGGTAAATCAAAATAATGTTCATTACTAAAATACAGTCTTGAAAACATTGCAATGTGGAAAGAAGCTATTGGAAAAGCAACAATTCGGCATGCTGAAGAAGAAATTCAGCACAGGTGGAATAGAGAAATTCAGCACAGGTGGAATAGAGAAATTCAATTCGACCTACAGAATACACTTCCTCTAGTCATAAATTTGGGAACAAATGATGTCGACGGTAGCGAGGAGGAGAAGGAAGTTGTTGTTGAAGATGATGATGTTATTCCAATGATTCACAGAATGTAAACAAATAAATGTTAAAAATATGTTGTTTTATATACCTTACTAACGTTTTTTTTATGTTTGAATAAAAATTCTCGGATAACTTTGAAAAATATTAACTGCAATAATCATATTACATAATTCTAAGCCAGAATTAATTTTTTGACTGTTCCCTAAATTATCTAAATGGACTTTATCTGGATTCGCTATCAAAAATTAATTTTCTTAAATGTCTCCAAAAAAATTTACAATCTGGCAACGCCGTACTGTTTCGGATGTGACTATATTTTCTAATCAAAGTAACCCTTAAATTCAACGAGAAGTTAAAAAATGCAATTTACGTTGGAAAAAACGTTTAGAACTACCAGCAGAAATAGGATGTCCTATTTGATAGAAAACAATTTTAAAAATGAAGGAATTGATTTGGTCGCGCTCACAAAAAAAACATTCTTGAACACATTATTTCGCAACCTACAATAAAAAATAACTGTAAGGTAGTAATTTTTTAAAGACACTTTTTGCGCAATGCCACATTCAAACTTAAATTACATCATACACCTTTTTGTTTCAGATCGTGGTCTTGGGCGGTATGCTCGTTCGCCCTGCTGGCAGTGGCGTACTCCAGGGGCGACCCCTACGAGTACAACGTCACCTCCTACACCCGCAACCTACCCGACGAGATCCGACCGATCGTGAGTCGAGCCCTGAGGGTGGAGAGGGCGGCGACGCACCCCAATTTCAGCAGCTCGGACTGTCACCCCGACGACCAGATCTCGTGCCCGCCCATGAAATACCGAAGGCCCTCGGGCGAGTGCAACAACGTGCGCCACCCCAAGTGGGGCAACAGGGGGTCGGCGTTCCTCAGGCTGCTGCCGCCTAGCTACGCGGACGGTGAGTAAAGTCATTGTGATCTAGAGTGCCGAGGGATCAACGTTTCGTGCGTGATGACTCTTCAGAAGCGAGGAGTGGGAAACTAAGCATTTCGACACACACTGTTCGTGTTTTTCTTAAGTGAGAGAAGTTTAACATCAGATACCAGCAATAGGGTAGAATGTTTAAAAGATTTTGAAATAGAAAATAATACACAAAGCTGGGACCTCATATTTTTAGGAAACATGTTAATAATGCAGGAAAACAACCATTTATCTGCTTCCACCATAGTAAATAGACTACTAGTACAGGAGATAAGTAGATTTTACCGTAAAAGTGGAAGACAACGGGTGGTAAGTGAAGTAACTTACCTCCCTAGGGAAAAAGGCGGTTTCAATTTATAAATGTATATTTATGAACAAATAAATAGAAATATTTGATGAACATTACGTTTTATTAATTACATATTATGAATTAATATTTATAGTAATTGTACAGTTATTACATTTAGTAACATTTATAACATCTGGATAAATTATTCCCCTCGCGTGACAATTAGACGCATTTTTCTCAAAATGATTTGACCGCTCCATTTCAGTCACGGACGCTCAATATTATCTGACTGATCCATTAAAACGGCATGATGCGACGTACTACTAGAAACTGGAGTTGAAGTGTCATTGTAAAGAATCCTGTTGGCTATTTCATTTTTGTTGCATAAACTATCAGCAACATAACTTTCTGCAATTGTGGCTGATTTCCACCCACCATGTCTCATGATTGCTAATACATCAACTCCTGTATTAACCAGTAACGTTGCCGATTTTCTTCGGAATGAATGGTCTGTATATGTTTCAGGATGTTCTACTTTCAAAAACTGTGCAATCTTATTAGGAATCATAGAAAGGGTATTCTTGCCGACTGGTTGGTTGTAACATATAGCTGCTTGATAGCGCATAAAAAAGCGTGAAATTTCAGTTTTAATTTCCAATCTAATCTTGATATATTCCTTGAGAATTTCTAAGTAAGAAACAGAATCCAGGCGAGAAGTATGTAATTGTAAACGTACGTAACATACCAGTTTTAGAATCTGGAACTGTAACTACAATAATGTCATCGAAATGTTTTAAATTGCCGTTGTCCAAAGTAAGTTTGCATAAATGATCAGAACGGCATGGTTCTGCAATGCCTAAGGCCGTTACTACCTTCATTAACAAATATGTGTAGACCAAGCAAATTAAATTTTTACTCGAAAAAAGTCCTATCCGCTAGATTATTGTAAAATTGTCTTGTAAAGGAACATGATACAAGACATCTCTCGTCTCGTGAGTCAAAAACTTTTATTAGCTAACTTTTCTATTTAAACAAATAAGTGAGGAAAACAGTTTTTTCACTTTGCAGGGAAAACCATAAATTTTAGCGAAAAGTTACTCTCAGACAGCTTGTAGGGAATAAAATTATCTACAAAATGAGACTTGTTAAATTAAAATCGGTTAATAAACAAAAAAGTTATTGCAAAAAAACAAGAAAAGTGCCCATTTTGAAGATAATTTTACTCTATCGCAT